TTTTAAAAATAGTGGATACATTATTTTTCTGGAATGGCTTTGTTAAGTGTCAATAAGTTTAGGATAATGCATTGCAAGCAACTTTCCCCATAAATCACTCGTTTACAAGATACTAATCAGGACTTCTGTTTATCTATCTATATGTTTTTATGAACATTTATTCTCAAAGAACAAACATTAATGGTTCTTTATAATGCCATTGGTGAAAAGATCTTTTCTCCTTTTAATTTATCTTATTCTATTGCATAAAAGTTGGTTGTCTTTTCAACTAGCTTTTTATATTTCCATCTAGAGTAATTTTAGTAAGGGAGCCAAGTTCAGTGTGTTGAGAATTGTCCAGAGTGACAATATTTTGACATTTGTGTATCTGCAGATGAGAAGTAAACTATGGGCTATTAACTTTAGGTGAAATTGGAGATTGCTCTCCTAAGAATAGGGAGTATCACCCCATGAGGAGATAGAAGGATGGCTGCTCTGGTAGAGGGATCTCAGGTCAACAAAAGACTATTTCTAGAGTAACTGGTTTGCATCTCTGGAAACATCTTGCTGCAGAAGAAAAATATAGTTCTTGGGAAGCGTGACGCTCACTAACCTAGCAAGTCTAACACCATGTCTCGTACAGAGCATGTGCTCAGTTACTATTAAGTGAGCACATTCGTATCCGGTGGCTGGTGAGGTAGTTGTCATCTTGGGAAGCAGGACTGAGGCAGTGGAGATGCCTTCTGCTGGGCTCCCCCAGCACCTCGGGTCTGTGCATCTCACCACTCCCCTCTCTGCCTGGGTCCCCCATTAGGGTGCGAGTTCTTCAGGGGAAGGGGTGCCTTTTATCTCCACAGGCCCTGCACCCAGTCTAGTGCCTGGGACATACTGTGTTGTCTGACACTGCACTAACCTAAGGTGACCAGACGTCCTGCTTTTGGTGGGACAGTCCCGATTTTAAACAATTTGTCCCGCATCCCGCGGTGTTTTAAAAAAGTCCCAATTTTCAGGATGCGGGACAAATTGTTAAAAATCGGGACTGTCCCGCTAAAAGCGGGACGTCTGGTCACCTTACACTAACCGTGCATTAGGGAATGAATGAATGCGTGGGTACAACTCTGATTGGCTTGGGGTGGGAGAGGCGGTTGGATGTGGCCCAGCGAGCTGCTCCAGTTTAGGTTCTAGGAAGGAAGGGAAAATGCCCTAAAGGACAAGAACAAATTTTGCAAAAATGTCATGCTTTTGTTCAGTGCCTGAGAGTGAGTAGATTGTTTTTATTAAAATGAACTTTGCATGGTGAAGTGTTCCAGTAGGGGTTTATGTTTTATTCAATAGCTCCTTGTTGTCCATTCCATGATGCCCTTATTTAGTTTGTGGTTCAAACCTTTCCCTTCCTGTGGCCGTCCTTTAAGCCTTTTTCGCCACTCTCTATACTGCAGCCAATCTAACCTGTCCTCACTCGACCTTGTATAGCTAGCCACAGAGGGGCCGGAGGGCAGGACTGGGTCAACCCATCCTGAGTTCAGGTCATACATCATGACTTACCACCTCTGAGTTCCAGAGCAAATTATACTTTGCTTTTCTGAGTTTTAGTTTCCTCATCTTAAGAAACTACTTCTTTGAGCTTTGGCTTTCTCATCTCCAATGAAATCTATCTTGTGGGATCATTATGAGGATTAAATGACATAAAGCCCACAGCACTGCTCCTGGCAGGTGGGAGACACTCAGTAAAGGTGGGTGTGCCCCCATCCTTTTATACCTCTTTCTGCCTGGAAGGTCAGAACTTACCACTTGTCCTTCCCCAATTAACTCAGATCTACTGATCGTTTGAGGCCAGTTCAAAGATCACTTTCTCCACAAAATCTCCTCCCCAGCTGAAAGCCATCTTTCCTTCTCCCGTAGTGTGCCATCTCCTTCTGAATATCTATGGTATTTACCACTTCCTCCCTGGTGGCTAAGTGATTGATTGCTGTGTTTTAGCTTTTCTTTGCCTATCTAGAAGTCCCATGAAGGCCACCTGCCTACCTTTTAATCTTGTGTTTCCCCAAAGCACCCAGCAGAGTAACTTGCATACAATAGGTGCTAAAATAATGAAGTGAATATGTGCAGAACAAGTTTTCTATATTTAGGACCTCATCACTTAATTTCCCTCAGGGTGGGGTGGAATATATAACCCATCTTTCCATTTTATCCACTTTAGTGGGGAAGAACCCTCAGGCCTGATACAAGTAGCTGACATCATCCAACATCCAGAGAATTCCCCGAAAATAGTTACAAATAATGACTAGTCCCATGGGCATTTACGATAAAGCTCTGCTCAACGGGTATTTACATTCTAAGATTGTGAAAAGAAATACTTCAACAGGGGAGTATTTCCTGAAGGCTAGCTAATCCACTGATACCCCAAATATCATCTTCATTATACTTCCTTCCATTGTGCAACACGGAAGTGACATCAATCTCAATGATTATTATTTGTACTGGCCCGGAGAGTTGCCAGGTCTGCGGTTACTGAGCTAGTTCGGAGATTGTTAGATGGAATCCCAGAATCAGGTGTAAGCCTGGCTTGTCACGGAGGGTGCTGCCAGAGGGTGTGGTTTGAAGTGTCTAGATGGAGACCTCCAGTTCCAAGCATCCTTTCTAGGCCTGCCTGAGGGGGGCTGCAGTGAGTTCAGAAGACTCATCTTTCAGAGGCTCCCATCCCAGGGGAAAGATAACACCTTCACCGGCATTTCCACAGCAGCCTCACACCGGCTTCATGGAGGAATGGGCTCTATAGCCAACGAAGTCTGTGAAATACTGCAAACTCCGTTCCTTTTGACAGCGCGTTCTGTGCCGCAGTGCACAGTACGTCTGAGGCTCCGACTCCTCTGGTGACGAGCCTGTTTAACCTAGAAGCTCTCCCACTTGCTTAACTATTAAATCAGTCTTGCTTTCTTGTTTTTATTCTGGGTTGTTACAAGATTCCTATTGACATAAGATGAAAATACAATAGTATTTCATAGAGCACACTTTAAAAATGCTGCCTTCATTACGATGAGCTATCTCTGTGATGGGGATAAATGTTCAGTGAAGAACGGGACACAAAGGGACATGCGTAAAGGGAGAGAAAAGTCAAGAGAAGAAGAGGAAGTGTTTGAGGTGACCATGGAGGCCGCCGAACACAATGTCACAGTCGTGGCCATCACTGCAGACATTACTCTGACTTTGTTTTCCTGCCTAGAAAGCCCCGCCATTAGCCAGGGCAGTCATCGGACTGGAAGGAGCAGTTTTGCATCTTCATGTGATCGGGGTAGGGAGGAAGAGGAAGGGGTGCTTGGGCAGTAGCCCTTGTTCAAATGGATGTGGAAAGAGGAAGGAAACCAGGTAAGAAAGAAATGGGGCAACTGAGGCAACAGGGAGGCAGAAGCTCTGGCCATGGGAACCTAAGGGTGGAAGGCAAAGGACAGGGGGAAGCAGGAAGTGAAGAGTCGTGACAGGTCAAGTAGGAAACTACCAAATCTACCTGCCACCTGAGCCAGGAAACTGAGGCTTTGGGCTGGGGAGACGCGGGAGAGTGATCAAATGATAAAGTCAGTGCGTCCCAGCTCTGGCTTCCCAAGCTAATGCCACTAAGAGCCAAAGTGGGCTGAAGACATGGAATAGAAAGAGCTGGGACAAGTGCCTGCCTTTAAGGTCTGTGTTGTCTTTTCTTGCCTCTCGGTGGTAGGACACTTATTCCCATAGGTAGTTTCTGCTGTTGGGGCCCTCAATGCCCCAAGGGTCTGCATTTCCCCAAGTTGTGGGGAGAGCCCTGGGGTGGCTACCAGTGGGCCCAGGCTGAGACCCTAACCCTGCTTCTCTAGGAAACATCACAGTGGTTCTGGAAGCACAGGGCTAGCAGGAAAGGACCATGGGTAGTGCAGAAGCCAGAGCGGGGAGGGGCTGTGTGGGGGCTTCCTCTTGCTGTCAGATGTTCTGCTTGTGGCAGGCAGAGCCACTGGGAAATCTGGCAAGCCGAGGCAACTTCGCAATGCTAGAGGCTGAAAACAAGATATGCAACCCGTTTGGGAGTATATCTCACACTGAAGTATAAAAATAGCCGATTCCCCTTCTGGGGGTACCTTCAGATATCTTGTCAATATCAGTGTAAAAGTCATGTATAAACTGCAAATGTTTTTATAACTCACATGCATCGTTTATGATTCAGTGAGATGAGGGAGAGGGCAATAGGACAACGTCCTTTCTAAGAACACAAACTTTCCAAATTGCTGTTCCATGGTGAACTAATCCCAGAACAAGGATCAACCGGGGCAAAGCTGTGCCCTGGGATAGTGCCTGGGATTAATTAGTAAATACATTTAAAATTAAATCTGTCAGACCGTGTTTGCCCTGGGGAAATGGTTAAAAATGATATGCCCAAGCTTGCAGGGGGTGAATCTCAATATGTCCAAGTCTACTGGCTGGAATGGTGACCCTGATCTCTCAGCGTAATGACTTTGCTGAGTCAGCAGGACATGAGCCTGTGGGCGCTGAAGACATGAGCAACCCTGAATCAGAAACAGGTCTGTAGCTGGTTTAGGGTCCAGGAGGGACTTTAAGTCGCTTATTCCTTTATGTAAATCAGAATACCACCCGAACATACACCTCTCTCTGAAACGAGGGGCACACTGTCAGAGGAGTGCTGGCTGGCTGTGTTTCTCTGCATGGTGGTGTGCATGTGGAGGGACCAATGCTGACACCGTGGGTGTGTGCCTGTGTTCATGCTGCCGACACCATTTCTCTGAGTGGGTCACACAATCACAATGCTTTGGACCTTTTGAATGGAATAACATGACTACTCATGGTATTGCACATCTCCAATTCCAAATGAGCATGATGGCAAAACTATACGAAAACGCAGAAAGAAGAGTAACTCACACAACGTCACGGAAGTCATGCAAAGTGGAAGAAAATGACTTTCAAAAAAAAAAAAAATGGGCAAGCAACAGACATGATAAACAAAAGAAAGCTAATGCATACAATTTTGAAATCATGCTTACCTTCTTCAGTCATTGTGTCATAATATTTTAGTTTTCCATATGATCCAAGCTCTACAACATCACAGTAAAAGACACAAAGATAAGGAACAAGCTGTAATGCAAGAACTTTGTTTTTACACATTCTTAATTAATCAGACTCAGAGTTGCTGTCAAACTCTTCAATCGTAACTACAGAGAGATGTGCAAACACGGGCCGTGCGGCAGACAGTTCTCACGCCCATCTTCAGAAATCTCTGCAAACATACTATTCTACTGTGGGTAGGATGTCTGCATTACAGAACAGGGCACAGTGATTTTCACATCTGATGGAACAAAATACTCGGCACAGATAACCCCGCACCAGGTCGACCCTAGCCCTGCAATCTTTATGGAGGTGACACTCCAAGAGAGAGGCTGAATGAGAACAGGTCCGGGCCCTTTGAGGCCTTGCCGTGGGGCAGCAAGTTCCAGACGTTCATGCCACAGTCCTGCTGCAACTGAGCGATTCCCTAGAGATTGAGAGAGGCCACCTGGGAAAACCAAAAATGAAAAGCCAGATTCTAAACGTCCCTTTACACTCTCACCTAGCATTTTAGACAGAAAACACTGAATACGAATGGTGTAGCATCCTGAGAGGAGCTGTGAGAAGTGCAGAGTGCTCTGGGAGGAAGGGAGAAGCGTATTTCCAGGGAAGACCACCTGGCTCAGATAGGGGACAGAGCTGGGACAGCTCCCAGACCAAGGCATCGCCTGCTGCTGGTGGACTGCAGGCAGCAGGAGGCGACCAGCAGCCTCTGTGTGCAGATGCCCAAAGGCCTGGCTGTGATGGAAACCACTGGCAGAAAGCCAGCTGTTCTGCGTCAGCTGGTGGGAGTGGCAGCTTGGGTGGGGGAAGAGATGGGGATATATCGTTTCTTTTTTCTTTCTTTTTTTTTTTTTCTCTTGTTCTAAAATAGAAACCTTCTCTGAAAATTCCAGATTATTTAAAACAACATTTGTAAGCAGGTTAAAAAAAATAAAATTTTTCTTGCTGTGACAACCCGCTCCCAATACACTTCAAGCAATTAATTAGACTCAAGAAACATCCCAGTGGTTCTGCAGAAAGCGTCCATGGCTCATTAACTTGGGCAGCCATGGAAAACCCACATATGAGTCATCTAATAATGGATGGGTTTTGTGTTTGAGATGAAAGCCCCAGCTTAAAACACAACAATATTCTTCTAGTTATTATATTTATATTAGACATTCTTTATTTATCCTCTTGCCACATGCCTCAAATTTTACCTACTGCTATTTTACCACACCAACACAAAATTATGCATTGGGAAGAAAAATCACCTCATCTTTATGTTTCTACAAAAAGCAGCCTATTCTGGATTTTGTAAGATGCATGATAAAGGATGCAAATGCTTCAACAAAAAATTAAATTTTGTGAAAATAACAAGAAAGTTTTTTAATGACTTTAAGGGATTGCCTTCAGTGAAATGTATAATTCTTTTAGATTTTAAGAACAGCAGTCTGTTACATGCATGACATTCCACAAGTCTGGAAGTGGTAAATCATCTAAATAGCTTCATAAATATTAAATATGCTCATAATGGCTTTACACATTGTGTGTGTGTGTGTGTGTGTGTGTGTGTGTGTGTGTGGTCTTGCAATAAGTGGATGGATTATATCAGCCATGTAATTTTTTAACCTCTACTCCTTCCCTGAGGTAAAACAGCAGAATAAGCAGCTGGCATAATCTATTATTTGTTCAGGAAACAGAATGTGGGCAGCTCTGTGTTTGCAAAATCGGGTGCAAAGCATATCCTACAGTGAAGATGCACTGTTGCATTTTATAAACCTTTTTCGATGCAACCTCTGTGTACTCACACACCTGTTTCCAAACTGTCACGCATCTGCTTGTGGCAGAAACAATTATGCTTTACCTTGTCTCTTGTGGAGCCAGATATAAATAAATACAATTGTAATCTTTATTTCTTTATTTCTTTTACTTTTATGTCGTCGAAAGTGGAACTGTTTGTGCCTAGCATAGCTCACACATTCTTACTGCTGTGACAATGTCTAGATTGTTTCTGAGTTGCTTCCTTGGCTGGTGAATGGGGCAGGGACAAGAACTGAACAGAACATATCAAAATAGGCTAAAATGGTGGAAGAGAAGGAATAAGAGTAGTGAAAAGCTGAATAATAATAGGCGATGTAGCAACACAAAGCGCAGTGAGGAAGGAGGGCAAGGGGAAAATACTTGCTCAAGTGAAGGGAACTGTATTTGTTGCCCGCTAAGAAGAAGACAGAGAAGAGTGTGAAGAGAGTCAGCCTGCTAGAATGGGGGAGGGGGTCTTTCACACTGACAGCAATGGGATGGTGAGACAGCCAACTCATCGCTCCGTGTTTTCAAGGGGACAGGGCAGTATCTCCAAGAGCCCAGACGTTCTCCCCTGAACCAGGGCTCCAGGGGGTGCAGGAAGAGAGGTGTGACAGGTGACTAGGATGAACACAACATGCACACGTCTGTCAGAGCACATGGTGCACCCATGGCCTCTGGACACCTCATGGAAAGTGGTCTCAGCCACTGTGACCACCAGTCAGCATACTCCCCGTGGAGAGTAACCGAGACACCTGTAGCATCACTGGATTAGGGTTCAAACTGGTCCTAATCCAAGCTGAGTGTCTTTGGGATAGGAGAGAAGAATTGAGAGAGTTCAAGAGAGTGCTGTTGAATACTACCTAGCAATGCCTATTATATCAACTAAGAGTCAGCCAAGATGAGAAGAGGATGAATCACGGGACAGTTTCCTCCTGGGTACCACATGGTGCCTCTTCTCTATAACACTTCTCTAAGAAGCTCACACAGCCTAAGAAAGCATTCCAGAACCCAGTGGTTTGGGATGAGCTGTAAGCTGATCATGAATGCTGCCTATCACGGCAACCACACTTGCTTCCATGCCATTTGGACACATGCCATTTGGGGGCCACAGGCACCCAAGCTCCCAGCTCTCTAGGAAGGATGGAACCTTTGCCATTCCTCAGTCCACTTCCTTCCAGGTATTGTCAGCAACATCACTACCTGGCTTTAAGATTCCTCTGAGTTCTTGTCCACATTTCATAGTTGATGAGTCAAGGGAAGGGTCTTGTCTTTAAAGAATCTGTGAAGTCTCAAAGAATCTGTGAGTAAGAACTAGTTTTTTTGGCTCCTAATTTTCCTTTCTGAATGAGAGCCTGGACACAGACTCCTTCTTCCAACACTGACTTTCTCAGCTCCATTTCTGAGGTCTCCTGAATTCTCAACCTCTTTTCAGCAAATCTCCCAGACAGGAGTGGCAGAAAAATAACTTTTCATATTTTAGGCCTCAAAATTCTGACCAAAACCAAAACAAAATAAAAAAGCCACAGAAAATTAATAGAAGCATCTATGCTTTCCATTTAAGTAGAATGGAAAGTAGGTATAGAGAAATCAATGAGACTAAGTATTTCTTACTTAAGTGGCTGATGGAAAAATATGATTAACTTGTGTTTTTTAAAAAATAAAAGAATTTTATTTTTCATTGGTTTGAACTGAACGTGAATACCTAAAAATTAAGGCTTTCTGAATGCAGACAGTAGTTGCTTAGTAATGACTAACACCTATCAAAGAAGTTTGTATAGCTACTAGATTGTATCACACCCATGGAAGGATTATCTTCAGTAGTGAGTGGAAGTTGAAAACATGGACTTCGAAGCCAAGGTGCACTTTTGAATCCCAAGTCTGCTACTTATCAGCTGTGTGACTTTGAGCAAATTGTTTTGACCTTTCTGAGCCTCCAGGTCCTCAGCTATAAAGGGACATAACTGTATGACCCCCAGAAAGTCGTGGTGGAGAGTAGATGAGATAACAACAGCCACCAAACAATCAATAATGGGCAGATTTTTTATTGTAAGCACCACCAAGAAGAGTAAGGGAGAACCATGGGCCATGGAGCAGAGCACTTAGACAACTTGGTATGTTACACAGGTTTGATAAAACAAAGTCTATACTACTTGTAGAGGTTTTAAGGAGATCACTGTTGTTCAGCAACAAAAGATATCTGCCATGTCAGGAAAGATGCTCAAAGGGAATTCCTCCATCAGTCCTGCTCTTCTACTCTCAGATCTATGGGGAATATTAAACCAAGAGCACAGCCATGGGGGCAGGATGTGACAAGTGGACTCTTCATGCATCTGACCAACCACTTATCCAGCGTTGGACCTTCTCATATTTACACACAAGCCTGTCTCTCAAACCACATTGTCCATATTTTGGTGGCAGAGACCCTATTCCTCTCTAGATCCCTCCCAACAGAGCCTAGGAGAGTGCTCTCCTTGCAGTCTGTGCTCCCCTATACTTTTAATGAAGTATACAAATGCACCGTCTCAAATGACAGGGAGGTTTAGGGTGCTTTGGTTTGCTGAACTTCCCTGGACTTGCTCAAGTCAGGAACACAGACACAGAGTCTGAAACTTCTTGGCTGTTGACACCACATCATCACTATCAAGGTTAAGATGCTCCTGAGTGAGACAGACAAGACCATCAATCCACAGTGTGGCTCTACTGCTGGAAAGTTGGGTGATCCCCTCTGAGCCTCAAATTTATCTTGTCAAATGGGGACAACAGCAATACATACCTGTTCTTAGGGCATGTTTTTTTGATGATCAGGTGAGAGCATATCTATTAAGCACTTTGCATTGGGGTGCCAAAGACATCTTTAATAATTAGTATCCCTCTTCATTTTCTGCACCAGGCCCAACATGAACATCTAACTCAGTCCAGTGTAGTTAAATCCTATCCAAACTCTAATTATTTCTCTGTGTGGGTACCAATGTCAATGTCTATTCTTGACATGTGCAAGTCAACAGAAACCCATAGACTTCTTCTCTTACATGCAAGGAAGACTCTCAAAAGAAGAACTTGTGATTTAGTGAAAGGCTGCCTGGCTCTTCTAGAACCATATTTAATAGTATTTACATTTTAGTCTTAAGGTGATATTTAAATTTGCATTTCTTTTTATTACTGGGTGAAAGTGTTTGTTTTAATGTTTTGTGAATGGGTAGTA